TGCCTTCTGGGACTGTACTCTTAACTATTATGATAAAATCTGAGCCTGCAAGGTTGTAAGGTCAGCTCAAACTGATTAGCTGCAGTTACACTGTGCCTGAATTGATGGCCGGAAATTTTTTAAGATAGACCTTTCTAGTAAGGGGCTTTTGTTCTAACTAGATGAGGGAAGATTAAAAAGTATAAACTGAGATCATTTATATAGTTGATACCTTGCCACATGGGGATTCTATGAATAAAATTTTCATGAAAAGCCATCTTGGAGAAGGTCTAATGGAGGAAACTGCCCACAGATTTAGTAAAACTGTTCTTTAAACTTCTATGTTAGAAAGGTTTCCTTTGCCCTTGACTGGTGTCTAGATTGGATTTGGAAAGGACTTAACAATGTTCAAAGAATGAATTACTGATATATTGTGCCTAAATTGTAAAAAGTGATATTTGTTAATATATGCTTCTTATTAATAAGCATTATATTTAATATTCATACATGCATATAATTTTGGATCCAATCTACTCACTCCCTCCCTTCCAATCCAACTTCTACACCCTCCAGCTTTCCTTCCCAACTTCATGTGCTTTACCTATCTTTTAAATTTAATACCCTCTGAGTCCACTTAGTACTGCCTATATTTGTGTGTCTTTGGGACCATCTACTGAAGCATGGCTAGCCTTTCATAATGTGTAGCCCCAGCCGCTCTGAGTTCATACACAACTGTGCTCTCATGACAGGCATATGCAGTTTTGTTAGAGATAGCCACTCTCTCTGGCTTTTATATTTTTTTCAATCCCTTCTTCTGTAATGATCCCTGAACCTTGGGAAAAGGCAGTGTGACACAAAGTGCCATTTAGAGCTGAGCACTCTACTGCCTCTTATTCTCTGCACAGGAATTGGTGGTGGGTCTTTGTACTAATTGCCACTTATTGAAAAAAGAAGTTACTCTGAGGAGGGTTAAGTGATTCACTAATCAATGGGCATAAAGGTAAGATCATAGGGAATAGTTTAACATATATCAGTTTAGCATAATAATAGTATTATGGCCTATGACCTAGCCAGCCACTGATTTTTGCACTAGTTAGTGAGAGAGGCAAATCATAAAAGCAACTTACATAGAAAGTATACAAAGAAAAGAAGGTACAAATCCACGAAAAAATTCTAAGAAAACACAAGCAAAACAGCTGAATGAAATACGCAGGATAGGAAAATGGCATTCAATAAAGAGTTACTGAAGAATACCAATGTAAAATGCTGGAAATGGAAATTTTAATAAATCAAACAAAAAGCTTAGTGTAAACCTCACAAAAACAATGGATCGGGGGAGGACATAATATCAGGGCATGAAGACAAGTTAGAGGACTTGGAATACTCAATAAAAGACAAAGATAAATTAACAAATGTCTGTGAACAGAATTTATGCAATATTGGGAACACTATGAATAGACCAAAGTCTATGAATTTTCAGAAGGGCAATATAAATACAAGCAGGAATGAAATGGAAAAATAAAAAGGAGACAGTTGGGACAGTCTGAAGAGAAACTGGTGTGAAGATAGATATATGACCTGACAACATAAAGTGTCTTGTTTCTCAGGAGGTTGAGACCTTACTAACCACTCAAGTCCATGGTTTTTTTTTGAGGCAAAAATATAAAAGAGGAAAGAGGGAAATGAGACAGTGCAAAGCTACAGGAGACCAAGTAGTCCTGATAAAGTGGTACTGTGTATTAAGAATGGGGAAACAGCTGTGAAAGGGACAGAACTCAGGATGAGGATATAGGATATGAAAATTTGCTGGTTTCAGATTCAAGATTCTCAATGTTCCTTTTTTTTTTCTTCAAGAAGCTTATCTCTGTATCTGCTTTCATCAGTCACTGCATGTAGGTTCTATGATGACAATTAGGGTAAATACCAATCTCAGTGCAGGGGAAGGCTAGTTCAAGCACCTTGCCACCATTGCTATGAGTCTTAGCTGGGGACAATCTTGAGTTCCTGGGGTTTTCCCTAGCTGCAGATGCAGAGACCCACAGCCAAGCACTTGGCCAAGTTCAGTTGAAGAGAGGGAGGAAGGATTATCAGAGCAGGGGTTGGGAGGGGGGCTCAGAATCATGATGGGAAAAACCACAGAGACAGCTGACCCAAGCTAGTGGGAGATCATGGACACTGGACTGACAGTTGGGGAGGCTGCTTAGGACCAAACTAGGCCCTCTGAATATGGATGAAAATTGAGTGGCTTGAAGTGTTTGTGGGTCCCCTGGCAATGGGATCAGGACTTATCCTGAGTACATGATGGGTTTTTTAGAGCCCATTCCCTATGGTGAGATGCCTGACTCAGGCTTGATGTGCGCAAGGGTTGGGGGGGGGGGGGCGCTAGGTCCAGCCCCAATTTGGTATGCCAGCCTGTGTTGACTACCCAAGGGAGGCCTTCCTTACCCTCTATGAGGAGGGGACAGGGGTGGGAAGGGGGGAGATGAGGGAAGGAGCAGGAGAAGGGGAATGAGGGGAACAGGGGTTGGTATGTAAAAGGAATGAAAAAATTTAAATAAAAAAAGAAAGAAGCTTATCTAACTCCTATGAATTCCATTGCCACAAGTAGTCCTGTTCCCTTTTTTGTGTCTTCCTTTAAAAGATCAGTTTACAGATGCTGGGCCAGTCTGTGGGCTCTGCTCCAATGGTAGAATCCCAGAATGTGGTCATACCTTTGTATGGTTCATTAGGAGTTCAGTTGTGAATGCAGTCTCCATCCCTAGACCATTCTTTGCAATATCTGGCACACTGCTTAGATCCAATATGATAGTTCACAGCAAGTTTTCACCTCACTTAGTACTATGTAGTCCTAATTTACCCCCTACCAATTTATCAGTACTCTGCTGACAAAATTTCATCATATAGTACCATGACGGTTACTCTGAGTGTGGTTCACAAAGGGTCATTCTGGGGTGCTGAAGTGCCCACAAAGCATACTTTTTTGAAATGATGTATGGTACTATTACAATGATAAGCAGGTAAATTAATGGCTAAATTACAATCTAGACATAAAATTATGGATCAATTTAAACTGATTTCTTTTACAAAGGTATCAAGAACATTCCATGTAGAAAAGAATAATCTTATTAACAAATGATAACGGAATAAGGTGCAGTCACTTGAAAAAGAATGAAAGGTTCTCTTACATTACGCTATACGAAAAAATTCCCAAAATAGACTAATCAGTGAAATGTAAGACCCAAACCTATGAAGCTCTTAGAAAAAAATAGGTAGAACACTTTACAACCTTGAAACTAGAAAAATATTATTATATGAGACTCAAAATATAAGGAACAAAAAGGATAACTGATATTAATTATAGATAATATGAAAATAGAGATGTATAATATTTTATCAAATTAAATTTGATTTTGACTCCATGAAAATACAGTCCACACAAAAGAAAAAAGTATTATGAAGTCATATACCTAATGTATACGTGTACATTTTAAAAAGCAATTTTTGAGGGTGGGCCAACTCATAACTCTGGTTCTGGGTCTGGATAGTTGCAGGGTTGGCCAGTCCGCCAGCTCTCCCTTGTCCTCATCACCAGGGTGAGCTCTCCAGCATTGCCCTGGATAGTTCATATCTTGTAGCAATGGGCAAGGGATGGGGCCAGTTCTCCTGATTTTATGTCCTCAGGGTTGGCTCTCCTACACCTACACCTTCAGGGCCAGCTCTACTGTGTTTCCCAGGTGAGGTACAGGTGCCACTCTCTCAAGTGCTGCAGCTGGTGATGGGCAGGAACAGCTCTCCCATTCTTAAGACGTCAGGGCCAGCTCTTCTACCTGCCACAGGTAGTGAGGTGGGGCAGGGGGCATCTCCCCTGCCCACAACACCATATGGCAGATGAAGGGTGGGGCCAGATCTCCCACATACTCCTGTTCTCATGGCTGGTTCATGCCCTGCCCCCGGTCAGTAGGGTCAGCTCTACTATGCTGCTCAGTAAGATGTAGGGCCCACTTTCCCATGTGATGCAGCTGGTAAGGGGGAGGGTCAGCTCCCTTGCCTACTACAGGTGGTAGGATCAAGGCAGGAAGGGCATCTTTCCCTTGCTCTCACCACCACATTTTGGCAGATGAGGGGTATGTGGCCAACTATTCCACTCTCACATCCTCAGGGTCAGCTCACCTGTGCCTCTGCCAACAGAGTAAGCTCTACTATACTGCCCAGACGAGGAGCAGGGCCCGCTTTCCTGAGTGCTGCAACTGGCAAGGTCAGCTGCCTCATCTATAGCAGGCAGAGAGGGGTGAGGGGTAAGGGGGGGCAACTCTCCCCCACCCAACACCCCATCTATGATCTTCTGGAACATGTGAAGGGGCTGGTCCTGCAGATCCAAAGCTGCAGGATCTCCTCGACACAGGGCAACAGGATATCCAAGAGGAGTTCCAGTGAGGCCTAGAACCAGACCAATTACTCTTTGCAATGAACACTTGCAAGAAAAGATATATGGATAGAAGGGTTTACTGCGTGACTCACTGTGTCACAGTACAGTTTTCATGACTAGATTATTTTGTTTTATTTTACTTTGTAGGGAAGGTTGCAAGAGCAGACGGCAGATATGAAGGGACAATGAAATGAATGTATGATGTGAAAGAGACAAAGAATAAATAAAAAAGAAAGTTAAAACAAAGATATTTTTTGAGATTGTATTCACATAATTTCCTCAAAATCCTCCCATGTATTCCTCCTTGCTCTCTTTCAAATTCGTATCCTTTTTATTCTTTAACTGTTGTTACATATGTGTGTGTGCATGTGCATGTGTATGATAAAACATGTGCATGTGTATGATAAAAGCTGGACTTTACTTCATGTGCCTTTTTGTTTTGCTACTTTTTCTTTGTAGTAAATCACAGAATTAAGTATTATTATGTATTACATTACCTTGCAACCACTATTACACTTCAGATTCTGAATTTATTTTCCCAAATATTAACACATAACATGATTAAATTCTTAGACAATTTCTACTATATACTCACCTCTGTTATCTTTTTGCTGTACAGACTTATGCTCTTCAGTTTTCTTTTCCTGGCCAAGCTTAGGAGGCAGGGTAACAGGCCTCCAAAAACCTAAAATCATATTAAACAGACTCAGTTATTCTACAATTACTAATTAAATGATACTATGAAAAAGAATGTTTACTATACAATTCCAGACTAAAAATATTTTTTGATGCTGTAACATAATTTTCAAATATACTTATTTGTAATGGTACTCCTATTCTCAAATTTCATGAAGCTTACTAAACCCATATTAAAATGAGGTTTAAATAAATGGCCTATACCCTATAGTCATAAACTTCTAGCCTCTTCTACCACAGTCCGAAGCAACCACTAAGATACCTTCTGCCTCTATAGATTTATATATACTTCAGGACATTTTGTATACATGGATTGTACAACATGTGGTTCTTTCTGATTAATTGCTTTGTATTCAGAATAATGTCTTCCAGGTTTACCTATTACATACCAAAAAGTCAACACTCCTTTGATTTATATTGCTAAATAACATCCACTGTGTAGATATGCAACATTTAACTTATCCACTCATTATTTTTTGAGTATTTGAGCAGTCTCCACATTTCAGCTCTAATGAATAATGTTGCTACAAAGTTTCCTCTTGAGTAACGAAGGTGTTCTGTGATTGGATAGTAGTGATGGTTAAACAAGTTTGTAAATAACCTGCAGACCACTGTTTTACAAGTTTTATGGATTTGTCTTATTTCTCTAAAAAAAAGTTACATTCTTATCTATGGCTTTTGAATTTGCTGTTTCTCTTTTAGGAATCCTCATCCTCAGATGTTACCAGTTTTCTTCAGGTCTATTTTCATTCACTTTCTCAATATGCTTTTCTCTTGCAACATATATAGTATGTATTTAAATGTCATATATACACTATATATGTATATATATATATATATTTATATATTTCTTGTATTTATTGTCTGCTTTTTATTAAAGTACATGCTACCTCAAAGAAAAAAATGACGTTTAAAATGTTATGGCATGTAAAACTCTATGTAACAACTAAAAACATAATCAGCTTTAAAAACTTTAAAAACTTTGCAGCAAGTTCATAATAATAGAGTGACTAGTTGGCTTAAAAAAACATCTATTTAGTGTGCACAGTCACAGAATGAAAGTGACTGCATTTTGGGTGTTGGAGATATAGCTAACTCTTTTCCTTACATCTATTTACCATTATAAAGAGAATAGCCACTTGTGGTAAAGACTGCCTTTAAGAATTATTGCTCATTTGGAAATGAAGAGGAGATGTATAGCACAAAGAACAGTTTTGTGTCTTTATTATAAACACATATTATTCATTAATAAAAAGGAAATATCAGATACAATATAACAAAACTGAATAAATTTATCAGCAGACATTTTGTTAAAGAAGACATATAAGTGAGTAAGAACACTTTCCTTACAATTAGAAATTTCAATTTTAATTGTAGGTTTAAAATTACATTCATAGTATTAATTTATATTTTAATACATAATATGTACACATGAATGAGGAATCCCAGATACTCCCCCAAAATCTATCTTTTGGCCATTTTTTATCTTTTAAGTGCATGGTATCTTAACCAAGTAAACTGAAAAGTCTATTATTGTAAGAATAAGCTGAGAGATAAGAAATTGTGATTAAGCATTAAACTGGCAACAAGAAGTACTGATACTGCATGGTATTTGTAAAATCAAAGAACACTTTTCTTGAACTCCAAAATTTACATAGTTTTCTAGACCATAAAGGTTGACAGTTTTACTTAAGACTTTGTAGTTTAAGTTGTTTATGTATGAAGCAAAGCAGGAAGCATATTGAGAAATGATGTTTAGAGAGGATTTTAATAATATACTACATTTCCTAAATGTAATCATTTTTTAATGCATACTTAAGTAATATTTTAAAAACTATTGATATATTATTAACATTAATGTGATTATTTACATAATAAGAACAGTTAGTAAAATTTACTCCAATGTTTGAAAGTGTTTCTATCATCTGATTGGACATATATCAATGCATACTTTATGTTGATTATTAAGAAATTTGAGGACATCATGGGAAAAGGAAGAGGCAGGTTTCTGGGGAGGCTCTCAGGAACCGAAAAGGATGACACCACCTTGGACTGCTAGCAGTGGTCCAGAGGGTGCCTGGACTGGTCTACTCTGGTGACCGGTATAGCAAATACCCTAACTATCATCATAGAGACTTTGTCCAGTGACTGATGGAGGCAGATGCAGAGATCCACGGCCAGACACCAGACTGAGCTCTGGGTATCCAATCGATGAGAGAGAGGAGGGATTCTGCAGGTGGGGAACATCAAGATCATGACGGTAGGAAGTGCAGAGATGACTGGCCACACTATTGGAGGCCCATGAACTGTAGACTAGAGGCTGTGAAGCCCCCACGGGACTGGACTAGGCCCTCTGGATACGGAAGACGGTTGTTTGGCTCGAACTGTTTGGGGAACATCCAGGCAGGGGAATCGGGATCCATCTCTGGTGCATGGGCAGGCTTTTGGGAATCTGGTGCCTGTGGTGTGGCACCTTGCCAGCTTTGGTACAGTGGGAAGGGGCTTGGACCTACCTAGGCTCAGTGTGCCAGGCTCTGGGAGACCTGGATTTGGGTGATGTGGGGATGTGGGGTGGCTTGGGAGGGAGGGCTGGGAGATGGGAGGAGGGAGGAGGTGGGATCTGTTGGTGGTATGTAGAGTGAGTGGAAAATTTCTTAATAAAGAAAAAAAAAGAAATTTGGTAATTCTATCAAAATTCAAATATTAAGAGAAAATTATACTTAATTGATTAGTTTCAGAGCAAATAATATTTTCTCAGTGAGGTAGTTTGAATGAGAATGACTCTCATAAGCTCATGCGTTTGAATGTTTGGCCTCCAGTTGGAGGAAATGTTTGAGAAGGATTATAACGTGTGGCCTTGTTGGAGTAGGTTTGGCCTTTTTGGAAGATGCATGTTACTAGGGGTAGGATTTGAGGTTTCAAAAGCTCATTCTAGGCCAGTCTCATGTTCTCTCTCTACCTGCAAACTTTGGATCAGATGTGAGTTATCAGCTACTGATATAGCACCATGTCTGCCTGCCTGAAGCCATGCTCCCCACTATGATAAAGGACTACCCTCTGAAACTGTCAGTAAGCCGCCATTAAATGCCTACTTTTATAAGTTGCCTTGGTCATGGTGTTTTGTCATAGCAATAGTAGCCATAACTAAGGCAAACAATTATAAACTTCCTAAATTAACAAATATATTTGAGAAAACACTATACTAGGAGCTTTTGTACTCTAGCTTGGTCAATAATTACCTATGTGATCATTTAAGGAAGATGGTTACTTGAGCCTTAGTTCTCAATGTTTGCATCATGTACCTATATACTATATTGTCAATACTGTTCATTTTGTGCACACTCATGTGTACTTGCACACAGCTACGGGTGCACATATATGTGCAGGTAGACAACATTTGTGTATGCATGTGGGTGGAGGTCAGAGATCAACAATCAGTATCTTACCTCAGAAGTTTTTCATTTTTTTTTAAACAGAGTCTCTCAATGGGAACTGGAGCTCTCTGATTAGCATAGGCTGGCTGGCTGGCCATTGAGCCCTAGTAATGTTACTGTCTCTGCCACTCCAGCACTAGGATTAAAAGTATGTGCTACCACATTCAGATTTTTTTTACAATTGTTTTTCTAAATTGGAAAATCTTTTGAGGATAAAAATGTTAAAATCCATGTACCACAATTATGCTTGTAAACTAAGGCACTATATTCAGATAACACTAAGTTCAAAGTACCAGACAAATAATCTGAACTTATTATTTTCATGGTTCTTAATGGGAAATACCTCTTAGAGTTGACTGACAGTGCATCTTCATGGTGAGCAAAATAAACACTAGAGCATGAGTTCATACCTCATTATTTATTGTGCTACTTTGGTTACTTATTTGTACCTCAGTTTCTCCATTTGTAAAATAAAGATGATAATAGTAAACTACCTTCTAGTATTAGGTGGACTTAATACATTCATATATGTAAAATCTGTGAGCTTTAATAAACTAGTGCAAATGAATCAATACTAACTAGTACATGTAAAATGTTTAGAGTTGTTATAGCAGTTGTATATAAAGCATATATATTTGTTCTAAAGAATCAATTAATTGTCTAGGGCAGTGGTTCTCAACCTTCCTAATGATGCCATTCTTTAATACAGTTTCTCATGTTGTGGTGACCCCAACCATAAAATTATTTCTGTTACTACTTCTTAACTATTCGTTATTGTTCTGAATCATAATGTAAATATCTGATATGCAGAATATCTGATATGTGATCACAGCGAAAAGGTCATTTTCCCCCAAAGGGGTCATGGCCCGCAAGTTGAGAACTAGTGGTCTAGGGACTGGAGGACTATAATGATCCATTATGATAAGATAAACATGAGTAACAGATAAATGCAAACTATTCATTGCAAATTATGGAACATAAGGAAAATCTTTATGAGCAAAGAAAGGTAACTTAAACACTGATATACTTAAGCTTCTATATTTAAAACCTTTTTACAATAACTAAACAGGAAAAAATCTTTTTCTTATTCTAGAATGATGAAAGCTAAATGTAGCATTGTGTTCTTAGGCCAGAATAGACATTGTTTTTAGAAAAATTTTTAACTTTCATCCTTTCAAAATAGAAGAGATAAAAATTACCTAAAGCAAGTTGATATTCCTAATTTTGAAAGTGAAATAAAATCTGGTATTAAGATGTTTAGTCTCTGAATTTCTTATAAGTTGTCTTAAGTGGTTTCAGCCCCAAATATATCAAAGCTACTGACACTTTGGGAAATGTTATGATGCTATGAATACAATTTATAAGTTATTTTCAAAGGCCACATACATGTTAGCTTACCTGGTGGACGATTATCCTTTCTACGAGCACCAAGCCGGTGTGCTTCATTTTCTGAGTCACGATGGTCAGACTCTATGAGATGTCCTTCTCTTTCCTTATCCACTTGAAACCCCTCATTTTCAACTCCCTTCTCTGTCTTTATGGGGTACCTTTTGCTTTCAGGTTCATTTTGATCTCGTTCATTTCCAGTTTTTTTCTGATGTTTTTCAGAACTGGAGTCTCCTTGATCTTTTTCAGTGATACTCTGAAATGTTTGAAGGTCACCCTGACATTTTCCGAAGCTATCTTGAGGTACTATAGACCTAAACTGATATTTTCCAGAGCTATCCCAGTGTCCACTATGATCAGAATCTAACTGTTTTCTTTTAGCATCTAACCGGTGATGTAGAGACTCAGACTTGTGAGCCAGCTTGAGTCTTTCCAAATTGCAGGTACTTTTGCATGCCTCAGCCTTCTTCATGTGCTTCCCAGAATCAGAGGACATCACAGGGCTTTCAGAGTCTGAGTCCACTGTTCTTTCAGACCAAAAATCCTTTGGGAACTTGTTCACAGCAGTGCTCAGATGAAATGTTTCTATACCCATGAAACATTTCACAGCTGCTGAGGCTAGCTCACATCTTTCTGAATCTGAGTCCATCTCACTTGGTTCAGAGTCAGAGTCCATCATATATCTCTTAGGTCTTTGCTTTTCTGTTTTTTCCACCTGTATCAGATGTACCTTAGATGCTGATGCTCTACTTTTTTCTGTGCCTGAGTATACTGCATAACTCTCAGTATCAGGGATCATCCAGAAATTTTCAGTCTCCATCATTGTTTTTTCAGATTCCATTAGACGTTTTATAGAATCTGAAGCCATTTGGCGTTTTTCTTCTATCTTCATTTCATTATCAGAGTCAGAGTCTCTTTCAGAGTCAGAATCTTCCAGGGACTTTTCTGAGCCTGAGGGTACCCAGTGTTTCAGAGATCCATATTCCACCTGGCACTGTTCAATTCTCACCAGCTGTTGCCCTGTCTTGGTCAAGTCTTCAACAGAGCCTGAAGCCATTTGATAATTTTCTGCTTTTAACAGATGTTTTCTAGAGTCTGAACCCCTAGGAGACTTTTCGGAGTCAGAATCTACTCCCCATATTACTGATCCAGAGTCTCTAGATTGTTCTTCTATCTCAAAATCTGAGACAACACCTCGGTCGGAGTCAGAATCAATCACACATCTTTCAGAACCAGAGTCCATAAGAGGAGTATCACTTTCAATAATTGTAAGGTCTTGGAGAGTTTTATAGTAAAAAGAACCCCCCAACGTTTCAGATGCATCTATATCAGAATTTTCTGCTTCGTATTTGTTTCCTTTATCATGTTCCAGTGTAACTGCTCCTTCATCACTTCAAGAAAAACAAGCATAAATACATGTTTAAATATTTACAAGTTGATACTAAGACATTATTTCTGTTGAAAATCTTCTGTAAGAAAATACTATGGAGCACATAGTCCTATCTGTCAACTGCATAAAGCAAAAAGCAACATTAAGCTTTTTGCAAAAAAAAAAAGAATATTATTGTGTTTATTTTATACTCTTCCATGGCATTAAGTATTTGCATCTTCCCTCACATTAACTGTTTTCCAATGGACCTAAAAGTATTTCCTGTTAGGATACTTCCTTGTTAATATATGATTTTCTTGTCACTCTCTAGTTAATATATCAACATTTGGGATCAAGTATCACATTTAATGTTTACTGTAAATTAAAAATAGAATATTTTTACATTCACATCTAGGTGAAAATTGTATATAGATGGATCTGATTATCAGTGATAGTTACCTTGAAGTGTCAACTCTTTGTGAAGATGAATAACTCTCAGACATGCTTTGATTTAGAAGGGATGTATATTGTATTAGAGGTCCATGTGATAAGACTGTTGTAGTTATTGGCTGAAAAACAAATAAATCATGAAGTTATAGCTTTTTTAGTTAAACACAATACACAAAAGCATTTACACTGGAGATGACATCAACTTGATTAGTTACAAACTTGTGTTTGATAGGCTTTGCATGATCTTCCTGAGTAAAACCTCAGAATTAACATCTAAATATAGACATGGTAGACACATTATGGGATGTTTGTTCATTATCTATGTTCCTATAAACTAATCTCTACTCCTAAATACCAGAACAGTCTTTGCAACTTAGTTTTTGAATTGCATATAACTAGCATTTGATTAAAATTAGAGTATCACTGTTCTCTTTGTTAGAGATTTAGAGTTAGTATTCAGAAAGTTTTCTCCCTGCTTGTTGTGTGAAACTGAGGGTAGGCAATCTTAGTCTCCATGTAAAAGCTAGTTCTGTCATGAGCATAGAGGAGTATAACAAACAACTTTTAGAGAAGAAGAACAGAACAGCCATACATAGATGAAGTAGATATAAGTGACCATATGCTTCTCGAAAAAGAGAGATGGAAATATTTTCTATCAAGTTGTTGATATTTTTCAGTTCCTAATTCAAATTTCTCCTTAGCAGTAACTCTATTTCTGGTCCTTGAATATTTTTAAGGTGAAAATACATTACTGAATTAAGTCCCCCATCATTTATCCATTGTTTTGATTCCTCAATTATAAGTAAACTTTTGTTCCTTCCAATCACAATGACTTTTGCAAAGAGAGCAGAATTGCAGCCATTATTTTATTGAAAATCCGAAAGTAGAAAAATGTGTAACAAATGTGACTTTTAGACACATGGAAAATACGAGCACAGAAAGAAAGTTGAAGGATGATCAAAATTAATTTGATTAATGTGAAGAGACTTCTTTCTTTAATATAATTTAACAAGACATAATAATTTACATATACGGTAATCTGTCATTTAGGTATGATATAAGAGAATTTCCATATTATCTCTTATATTTCAGAATTGATGGTAATACATGAAAGGCTTGAAATCTACTTTCTTGGAACATAACTGGAAGTATTTTCTGAAACATCATAAATAATTATAAAATATACATGATTAAAAATTAAAAATAACATTTATTTACAAGGTAAATAAACAAGAAAAATACTAAAATTTCCACATGACAGGAGAAGCAGATAGCAAATGGCATTTATATTACTCTAAACATCTATCTACAAGTACAAAAACTCAAGAACATCTCTGACTCCTATTCTCAAGCTATATATATATATATATATATATATAAATTGTCATTAAACCATGATTTTACAGGTGCTACTTTTTGTTTCGTTGGTTTTGATTTATTGGTTCATTTTATGTTTTGAAATATTTTATTAATAGGTAGTAACTGAACAAAGTGACAAATTTTAAGTGGCATTTTCCTTTAAGTACTTTGACTATATTCACTGCATGCCTTCTCCTGTCCCATTTTCAATTAATTTTCTTACCAATTAGTTCCCTTTTACTTTCATGTTATATATGTGTATATTTTTTTCATGGAGAAAACATGACGTTTGTGTGAGTCTGCATTATTTCACTTAATATGATTATCTCCATTTCCATCAATTTTACTACAAATGACATAGTTTCATTCTACTTTGTGGATGAATGGAACTCCATTGTGCATCTATACATTCTCTTTATCCATTTGATGATGAACACCTAGGCTGATCCTAAAATTTGGGTATTAGGAATAGTGCCATAATGAGCATGGCTGTTCAGGTATTTTGTAATATGCTTACTTAATTTCCTCTAAATATACTTGCAGGAATGAGGTGTCTGGAACATGTGCCTCTTCTATGTTTAGGGTTTTGCTTGAAACTTTGAAACTGCTAGAAGAAAATATAGTAGAAATACTTTGACTCATAGGTAGGCATGGGTAAGAAATTTCTGAAAATGTCACTAATATTTCAGTAAATAGTAGCAACAAGTGACCAATACTAGTTTATGATCTTAAAACACACATTCACAGCAAAGGAAATTACAGAGTAAAGAGACAGCCTTTAGATGAGAGAAAGCATGATAAAAGAAAATCTTTGCCAGCTAACCAGTTTAAAAGTGATTAATATCTAGAATATATATTAAGAACTGAAAAAGGTCTCACAAAACCCACACAAATACTCTAATCAACAAATGACCAAATGAAATGAGTAGATGCTTTTCAAAAGAAGAAGTACAGGGGGTTGGTGAGATGGCTCCGGGGGTAAAGTTCCTGCCACCAAGACTGATGAGTTAAGTTTGATCATCACTACAAAGATATAATAAATATTTAGAATGGTAAATAATTTAACTGCCTTTTATCATTACTTAATGTACATATATATCGCATTAACACATTTCACCCTTAAATAAGCTAATTATTGGTAAGTTAAAATAAAATACTAGAGAAATGATAGTGACAATTACTAAATAAATAAAAGTGTAAAAATTTATAAACTCAAGAAAACACCAGCTGTAAATTCTAGCATTGAAAAAAAATGAAATGATAAAAATAAACTACTTGCTGGGTAGTAGTTTAAAGGGTGCATGCCTTTAATCCCAGCACTTGAGAGACAGAGCTAGGCGGATCTCTGTCAGTTTGAGGCCAGCCTGGTCTACAGAGTGAGATCCAGGACAGGCTCCAAAGCTACACAGAGAAACCCTGTCTCCAAAACCCAAAACAAACAAACAAACACACAAATAAATAAATAAATAAATAAAACTACTCACTGGTTATATGGAAAATTTTATTTGAAGTAGTGGTAATGAAAACTAGTTGAAATGGTAAGGACAAATAAATGGCATTGAGCCTAAATGAATTGAACTCCACAAGTCCAAGTAAAAGAAAGAAAAATAAAAGTCATCAGAACATCAAAAACTTATGAAATAATAACAAACACAAATTCAAGGTAGTCTAAGAAGAAGAAAAAAAACAAGAAAAAGCAGAGAAAATACTTGTGTCAAATAAGAACAATCCTGAAGATACTTGACATAAAGGGGTGTGGACACAGGACCCTTATAGTTCTTTCCTGCTGCACTCTTTTGCCTTTCCTTCTATCCCATATCCATTTTTTTTTGTGATCTCCTCTCCCTGCCTCAACCCACAAAACCATTTTCTACAAGGGATCCACACTGGCCACATTAGGCTAAGATACATGTAGGCTACATTTATTGTCTTTCCTGTCCCCCTATTCTAGTCTCTCCATATTAATTCTTAGTCCTGCTACTGCCTGTCCAGAGGAACCCCTCCTCCAAACTTGTCACAATCCCCTATGGATTCTCCATCTTGGTGAAGAACCAGAGTCTCACTAGATCTTTCCCACAACCCTATTTACTCCTTTCTTCTAGCCCATGTACATTTCTTTGTGACACTGTCAATACACAGAAACACTCGCTACTAGGAATCTTACAGCCAATAAACAGATCTAGGGCCCAAAGTGAGCAATAGCAACCAAAGAATGGAAAACCCAATCAACAAACTTGAGATCAGACATCTACTCCAAGAAATACTTCAAACATTATAAATCCAGATACCTAGATTCCAGGTCCCAAACACAAACATACAAAAACTAAACAATATTCCTCATCCAGAAGTCAACAGTTCTATTCTGAAAGGCCCTGAGAAAAGCAATTTAGCTGAAGCATAAGAAATGTATTTCAAAATAGCAATTATGATTATGTTAAATTAACTTAAAGAGGATATGAATGAATGTCTTAATGAAGACGGTGAAAATAGAAACTGTTGAATGAAATAATGAAACCAATTCAAGGCAGAAGAGTAGAATTTAACAGGGAAACAGAATCTCAAACAAATTAAAATAAACTGGAAGTTAAAAACTCAAGGTATTAAGCAAAAACCTTAAAGGTAAGCCTTACCAACAGAATACATGACAGAGATACAGAAGAGAGAATCACAAGGCAGAAGAAACAAATACCTCAATCAAAGAAAAATATTAAATCTAATAAAAATGCTGAACAAAACATTCAGGAAATCTGGGACACTCTGAAAAGACCAAACCTATGACTAATGGGTTTAAAGGAAGAAAAAGAAAGTCAAATCAAAGGCCCAAATATATTTTCAGTAAAAGCATAGATTTCCCCATCTTAAAGAAACAGATGCCTATCAAAGTACAATCACATAGAACACCAAATAAACAAGAACAGAAAAGAAACTCCCAATATCACATAATAATCAAAACACTAAATGTACAGAACAAAGAAAGAATATTGAAAGCTGCAAGGGACAAAGAACAAGTCATAT